CTAGGTATTATTATGCCGGAGGGGTTTCCCGTTTCCCGTTTCCCGCCCCCCCCCCCCCCCCATGGGGCCTCCAGCTAAGGTCCGTACAAGAGGGTAGGGACAGCAAGGTAGAATGGGGCCTCCAGGTAGCGTCGTTACCTTGTTGTTGTTGTTGTTGTTGAACATTATTACTTCTAAAGAATAATTATTGTTGGGACCCCTGGTGCGCGACCCCCCTCCAAAACCTAGGCCGCAGCTACATTTTCATCATTTTTTAGCGAAAGCTTCAGAAAAGTGAATTATTACCGGATCCGGTTGTTTTGTTGTACTCCGTTTTCCCTTGCAAAAAACACTATAAAATGAAAATTCTTGTTCTTACTTGATCAAATTGCAAGAATCCCTTGCAAAAAATAAGGTAAAGTGGACATTCGTGCGCGCAAGACGAAATCCTTCCAAAACCTTAGGTTTCGTAACGATTTTAACATAAAAACATCAAAAACCCAATGGTTTTTTAAGAAAAAATTGTCAAAATGTTCTTCCGCGCGCTCTTGCGGATTCGTAGGAAAACCAACACTTTTTAAACAATTCTGTCAAACGGGCTTTTGCGAGCAACTTTTTCGAACTTCTGCGACAACGTTTGCGCACCTGCCAGGGCCATCATCCCTGTCAAATAATACCATGCGGGACACATTCGTTTTTTCTTCGCGCGCGCACGCCGAAATCTCCAAAAATCATTGGGTTTTTAAGAATTTTAGCACCGCGCATCATAAAATCACACGAATCGCACCGTAGCTCTCCTCTGGCTCTCTGTCTTGCTCTCTCTCTCTCTCTCTCTCTCTGTCTCTCTGTCTTGCTCTCTCTCTCTCTCTGTCTTGCTCTCTCTATGTCATGCGCAACGAATGCACGATGCGGGGCACATGCGGGGCCCAAACAAGTGATCAACCTCTGCGGGTGTGTACTCCACGCCAGTGTAGTATCCACGATCGTCCGCGCGCCACGAAGTGAAGTGTCCTGACGTCATAGGGCGGGAAGCTGGGTGTGGGTGGTTCCCGAGAGTCGTGTGGATGTTTGGTAGAGCTTGCATTGCCCCCCCACGAAGTGGGGGTATTGGCTGGCGTCGCATGAAAACCCTGGCACTGGGGAGAACACTGAGCGTTCGGGTAAAATGATTGTTGTTGTTGTTGTTGTTGTTGTTGTTGTTGTTGTTGTTGTCGTTGTCGTTGTCGTTGTCGTTGTCGTTGTCGTTGTCGTTGTCGTCGTCGTCTTCCCCCCCGCGACCTGGCCCGCGACCCACCCGCGACCCACCTCGCAACCCACCCGCGACCCTCCCCGCGACCCAACCGCGACCCACCCCGCGACCCGGCCCGCGGCCCGCTCACGACCCACCCGCGACCCACCCGCCACACCCGCGACCCGGCCCGCGACCCACCCGCGACCCACCGTCGACCCACCCGCGACCCACCTGCGACCCAACCCGCGACCCACCTACATTGAACAATGAATCGACGCCTGCGGCGGGCTCGTCGGAAACTGCGCCTGCGGCTGCGGCGCCTCGCAGACTGCCGACATCCCCGCCGCCCCCTCAGTCTTATCCGCAACTGCGGGGTGCTACGTAGCCGTATGGCCTTGTAGCTCTATAGCCCTAGAGCCCTATAGCCTCATAGCCCTACGCCCAATAGCCAAAATCTGATTGCTTGTTTTCTCCGGTATCATGTTTTTGTCGCCAGGTCGGTTCAGCTCGGTGGATTCTCGTGAGGTTGCCGCGTCGCCGCGCCCTTCTTGGCAGCTCGTGGCTTGTCGACTTCGTCTTCGGTTTCGGTTTCGCCGTCGATTCGGTCGGTTTTGGGTTTCGCATGTGCGTCGCTGAACAACAGCCGGCCGCATTCGTGCAAGAGGCCGGCCGCGGTGTCGTTGATTTGACGACGTGCAGCTTTGACGGCGTATTTTTCTTCTTCTCTTCCACCCGAGCTTTGCATAGGGCGCAACGCAACGTTGCTCCGCCAGCTTCTCGGTCGGATTTCCTCACCGCCAGCCTCGGTAGCAAATCATGGGAGCCTGGTATACCCTCATTCCGTCTCTAACGTCGATTGGCGTCTGGGGGTCGGCGAGCTCGCGCGCCGATGTTTTGCGTCGACTGGCGCCCGTTTGGCGTCGACTCGCGTGGACCAGCGTCGAGTAGCGTCGATTCGCAAGAGCCGACAAGATGTCAAGCAGTGGTGAAGCGTCCTGGCTCGCCTATAGTCCCACCAAACAATGTAATACGAACCTTTTTGGTTCCCACGAAATGTTATTAGAACATGTCTGGCTGGGACAGTCTTGTTTTAACATATAGGGTTAATGTTCTAAGAACATGGTGTTTGTTCTTCGAGCTTTTCGGGTTCTAAGAGCATTTCGTGGTAGGCCTATAGAAATGCTCGGTCAGTCCATGCTCAAAAATGGCATGGGAGGCTCCCGTGAGTTGCCACCGAAGCCAGCTGATCGATCGCAGCACCAGCAGCCGCGGGCGCCGCCCGCGCACGAGGCGGAGGCGGCCGGCGCGGAGTCCAGGGCGGAGGCCAAGCCGCAGGCCTGGGGCCAGCCAAGCCTCGACGCTCGTCGCGTGACATCGCCGTCGGCGTCGTCGGAAGAACCTGGGGGAGAGGAGGAGGAGGAGGAAGAGGAGGAGGACCAGTGTAAGCCAAAGGGTCATCAACGATGTTGGCATAAACCCTCCTTCCAAGATCCCTCTTCATAGGCCCCTACAAGGGTTCAATTCCACTGAGGGAACTGGCTCGCTGGGAGGAGTTGGAGGAGGAGGAGGAGGAGGAGGCGGAGGAGGAGGAGAAGGAGGAGGAGGAGGAGGAGCACCAGTGCAAACCCCAGAGTCATCAACGACGTTGTAATAAACCCTCCCTCCAAGCTCCCTCTTCGCAGGCCCCTACAAGGGTTCATTTCCACTGAAGGAACTGCTTCTTTGGCAGACAACCGTTTGAAGATCCTGAAGCATGCCAAAACATTTTCATCGGGATCCAACGCCACGGATCAATCTGGTTGCTGTGCTCTGACGCCACGCGACTTCCTGGGACCCCTTGGGACATCAACACCCTGGACTGACGCAACATATCACCCTCCTGCTGCTGGTACGTTGATCATGGGAAGCCGTGGAAGTTTTGATTTTTCTTTGACAGATGCGAAAACACCATGTGCGCGGCGCTAAAGCGAGAGCCACATATTGAACAGGAGCCGTCTTCAATCCGTGAAAATCATAAATGTTTAAAACGAATGTGCGCGGCGTTAGGGCGAAGCCATATTTTGGAAACCACCCGCCCTTAACCCGTGAAGCTCTTGCAATTGTTTAAAACGAATGTGCGCGGCGCCAAGGCGAAAGCCACATTTTGAAAGCCACCCGCCCTCAACCCATGAAGCTCTTGCAACGTTTGATAACGAATGTGCGTGGCGCGAAGGCGAGAACCACATGTTGAAAACCACCCGCCCTCAATCCGTGAAACCATTGCAAATGTTTCAAACGAATGTGCGCGGCACTAAGGCGAGAGCCACATGTTGAAAACCACCCGCCCTCGATCCGTGAAAATCTTGCAGACTGTCAGGCTGCAGGGTCACAAGTGATGAGGAAGTCTCATGCGAAACTCCCAGCACGCTCTAAAAACTGGCCTCTGTGTTCGACAAGGAGAAGTTATGTAAAAGGAAAAGGACTGGAGGAGGAGGAGGAGGAGGAGAAGGAGGGTGGAAGAGGAGGAGGGAGGGGAGGAGGACGACGACGAGGGGCAGGAGGCCTTGATTACTTGCGTCGATCTCCCTCTCCTCACGTATCGCGTGGCGGGCGCATACCCTGTGCCCTCACGGGCCCGCTTCTTTCGAAGATCGGTGCTGCCTTTCTTTTGTCCCGCTGGGCATTTGTCGCGCACTACTTCTAAGTGGACCGTCCGTCTTTTTCACAGACACTACAATCCCGAGGATTTAAGTCCGGTCAGCGACGAAATGGAAGAGGAGGAGGAGGAGGAGGAGAAGGAGGAGGAGGAGGAGGAGGAGTGATAGGAGGAGGAGAAGGGGAGATGAACGGAGCGGCAGCCGCTCGACGTGCAGAAGGGTGGCTAGCCCGAGCAGGGGCAGATGCTAAGTGGGCCCTGGAAACGACAGGGCCGTTTTTTTATCGGTTCCGACGCCGCTTCTTTGCCGGTTCTGTCGCCGTTCTTTTATGGGTTCCCGCTCCGGTTACGATCCTGGAGCCGTTTTGAGGAGGAGAAGGAGGGATGAAGGGAGCGGCAGCCGCTCGACGTGCAGAAGGGTGGCTAGCCCGAGCAGGGGCAGAGGAGAGCGGAGGAGGACAAGGAGGAGGTTGGGGTAAGGGAAGGCACATCGACCAAATGGTGTTTTCCTCCTCCTCCTCATCATCATCATCGTCCTCCTCCCTCTCCTCCTCCTCCTCCTCCTCCTCCTCCTCCTCCTCCTCCTCCTCCTCCTCCTCCTCCTCCTCCTCTCTCTCTTCTCTCCTCCTCCTCCTCCTCCTCCTCCTCCTCCTCCTCCTCCCTCCTCCCTCCTCCCTCCTCCCTCCTCCCTCCTCCCTCCTCCGTCCACTTGGGTTCAAAGATGCTCATCAGTGGCTCGGGCTCCTGTGGTCTGGTGACCTCGACCTCACGAGGCTCGCGGATGCGAAAATCGGTGCCGCGTCCGCGCAGTGCGCCTCCCTCGCGGGGCAAGTGGCTGCTGGAGTCCTTCCACTTGCCGCGGCTGCTCACGTCTTCCAGGTTCAAGTCGAAGGCGCGCTGCGTTTCGGGCGGTGGCTGTGGGTGGTGGGTGAAGACGCGCCGCGCAAGCTGGAGCAGAGCTACGGGGCGTGGGCGCGCGCCCTCCTGGGTAGCCCTCCCTGGCGAGGGGGGGCTCTGGCCTGCTCGGACTTGGGCTGGTCGCTTTTCGGGCCGGCCAGGGCTGTGTTGGAGGTTGCCTCCCGGCGCGCTGGTCTGTGGCACCTCTACAAGCGAGTGTTTGTGCACGCCCACGTGTCAGGAGGCCGCACTTGGGCACAGCTTTCGCTGGCCCTCCTTGATGCGTGGTCCGTCCCAGATTGGCCAGCAGCAGAGGCTGCCCGCGAAGGGTTGTCTATGCGTCAGTACGAGGCGCACGTGCGGGCCCTCCTGGAGGCCCGGTGCGTGCAGGAGCTGAGGCGGCAGGCGCTTGGGCTCGCGAGGCCGCTCCCAGTCCTGTCTCTTGGCCCAGTTCCTCGCCTGGACCTTGCCGCGGCTCTCAAGCAAGGGCTCCCTTTCGACGTCCTGCTGGGCCAGCGCTCGCTGAGCAGGCTTCGTGGGCGGCTGGTTGCGCTCAGCCACTCCGCTGGCTCCCTCTCTTCGGCGCGGAGGCAGGCTTGCGTCCTCTGCGGGGATCAGGTTCTGAGTCCCACTTTTCATGTTTTGGGTAATTGCAAAAACACTGATGGATGCAGGCGCACTTTCTGGAAGGCCCGCGGCGGCGGGATCCCGTCCACCAGGGAAGCTGCGGCCACGGCGATATTGTCGGCAGCTCCGGCGGACGCCGGGTACAACGAGGCGGCGCTGGTGGCGCTCCACGTTGAGAAGGAGGCGGATCGTTTCTGGGCGGTCGCCAGCAGAGCCCTCCCCCGCTCGCCCCTCTCCTTCCCTCTCTCCTTCCCTTTCTCCCTCCCTCCCTCCCGCCTTCCGCCCGGGAGCCCGGGTGGTCGTGTCGGGTCGGGCTGGGATGGGCCTCTCTCTTCGCCCCGTCCTCTCTCCCTTTCTCCTCCTCTCTGGGGTGGTTTTCTCTCCCCTTCCGATCTCGCCCCCTCCCGCCCTCCCTCCCCTCTGCCTGCCGCTTCTGGGGGAAGGTACCCTGACCGCTGCTTGTTCGGGGGTCCCTTTGTCGCCACGGCTGGATTCTCCTCGGAGCTCTGGTCCTGCCCTGGGGTGCGGCGGGAGCGGTATTCCTCTCCCTGTGGGCCCCTGGCAGGCTGGCCGGGTCGGGCTGGGCCCCCTTTCCCCCCCCCTCGGGGTGGCTCCCTCTCCCCCTTCCTGTCACCGTCCCGCACCTGCGGGGTGCGTCGACCAGGCAGTGTAGTGGGGATCGGACGAGCTCCAGGCAGGTGCTCCCTGCCTGGCCCCCCCCCCATGTTGCGGGGAGTCTCTGAGTTGCCTCTGCTGCTTCGCTCTGGCTGAGACTCAGGGCGGAGGTGTTGGCTGGAGCTGCGAGGTCCTTCGGAGGCTGGGCTGGGGTCCCTGGGTAGGGGCTGTGCCCCCCCCCCCCGGCGCCTTGGCGCCGCTCCCCGGGCTCGTTTTGAGGGCTGGGGGGGGGGTCCAGCGCCGACCCAAGAATTCCGCCTGGGCCACCCGAGAGCTAAAGCTTTCGCCTGCCCTCCCCCCGTTCCCTCCAGTGCTGGCGCTTTGTCTTCCAGAGCCGTCGCAGCAAGGTCGCTTCCGAACCATCTCTGGGTCGTGGCTCCTTGCTAAAAAGGAAGCGCCGTCCGACGCCTCCGCCGCCAGCTCAAAGGGAACACACCTACCTACCTCCTCCTCCTCCTCCTCCTCCTCCTCCTCCTCATCATCATCATCATCATAATCATCATCATCATCATCATCATCATCATCATCATCATCATCATCATCATCATCATCATCATCGTCCCTCCTCCCTTTTCCTCCTCCTCCTCCTCCTCCTCCTCCTCCTCCTCTCTTCTCCTCTCTCCTCCTCCTCCTCCTCCTCCTCCTCCTCCTCCTCCTCGTCCTCCTCCTCCTCCTCCTCCCTCCCTCCTCCTCCTCCTCCTCCCTCCTCCCTCCTCCCTCCTCCTTCCTCCCTCCTCCCTCCTCCCTTTTCCCTCCTCCTCCTCCTCGGCGGCGCTTTCTTTTGTTGTGTCCCCTCGGCGTCCAGGTTTTTCGCTTCAAGGAAGGTTCGACCTGTCGGTGTTCGAGGGGCCGCTCTTTGCTCAGGTGGGGCCACTGATCGACCTGGGTTGCGAAGTGTTGCCGTGGGCTCCGCTCTCCGGGATCCTGCGTGCGGAGGAGTTCGCGGCCCTGAGAGTACTGTCGGGCCTTCGAGTCGCTGGCCACGGCCGTGGCAGAACGTGCAGACGCATCCGCTGATGTGGCTCAAGGCTCACGGACAGCCTGCTCGCGCGTAACCCCTTGGCGTTTCTCACGGGTAGCGTCGTTCCGTTCGCCGCGGTGGCACGCGCTCGGGCCCCCAACGGGCAGTCAGCATCACCTGGGCAGGCTTGAAGCGACGCCCAACGTCCTTTTACACTCACCTGTCGTGCAAGGCGGCGCCCGGCACGGGCCCTACGCGATCCACGCTTCGCAGCCCCTACGTGGCCAATGCCTCCATACGCGGCGCGGACGTAGCCCATGCCAAGCAACTTATTTCGGGCGGAGCCCCCTTGCTGCGGGCCCCGCTGCGAGCGTCGACGCTGCACCAGCTCCAGTCTGCATGCCGCGGCAGCTTCCCGCCCCGAGTGACAAGGACTCAGCGATGCAGGGATAGGGTCCACTGAGCAACGGTATGCTGAGTCAGCGAGCTCGCCACCTCGACTGTTTAGCGCTTTCGGGCCTGCAGCCTGTCCACTGCGCCCTTCCGTACTCTCCGTCGTCGTCGGTCGCCCGGTTCAGTCGTGGTCGTTCCGGATTGGCCAGCCCTGACGTCGCAAGTCATCCTCTCAATTTTCCCTCTCCTCGTTCACCTCCTCTCCCATGTCATCCTATCTCCCAGCCTTTGATCATTCCACCCCTCGCTCCCCAGCCCCTCTTCCCTGGATTTTGTCGCGTCGGCCAGAGCTTAGCTGCAAAGCTGCAGCGTGTATTAGCCTGTCCCGTGTTCCTCCTCTCCCTCGTTTCTTCTACCTCATTCTCCAAACCCTGCCCACTCTCCTCCTTTTTTTCCCGTCGCATCCTTTCCGCGTTTCCACAGCACAGGCGAATATCAACTATACCTGTCGCCGTCGTTCTCGAAGTAGTCAGCCACAGCCGTCGTCGTCGTACTCGTCGTTTGTCTCGGCGTCTTCATTGTTGTCCTCGTCGCCACCGCCATCGTCGTCGTGGCCGTTGTCACTGTTGTCGCCACCATCGTCGTCGACGTGCTCGTCGCTGTCGTCGTTGCCGCCTTTTTCGTCCTCCGACTCGTCGGCGCCTCTCCGTCGTCGCAGTCGCGCCCGACAGTCAAGCACTTCAGGGTGAGGTCCGCGCTGCAGACCCTCCCGCGGGTTTACCTATGCCTTTCCCCCGCGGGTCTGAGCGCACGTGAGGCCCCCGAAGGGCCTGGCCGCCCCCTTCTCTGACGCGCCCCTCAATCGACGAACCCCTCTCTTTATCGATGCTCCTCCTCCTCCTCCGCTCCTCCTCCTCCTCCTTCCCCCCCTCCTCCTCCTCATCATCCTCCTCGTCCTCATCCTCATCCTCCTATCTGGCCGACCGCCCACGCCTTGGAGCGGGGCGACGGCGTCGTCACGGTCAGGGGTCGGGTCTGCTAGAGGCTTCTCCCAACCCAGGCCAACGCCGTGATTTTTCCATGCCGTGGATCCCTAGAGGTCTGGACCTTCCCACGGGGACTGCATTTGCATGCTGAGCAGTTTCACGACGGCCCCGGGGTCTGGTGAGGCTGTCCAGAAGCCGGTAGCAAACCATTCTCCGCCGCGAGTTTCGGTTGCCACGCAAGGGATCTGGGAATGATCCCCGTGTGGCAAGAGACTGTCTCCAAGGGTCCGGCGAGAACCCGGGTCGTTTGGCCCGCCGCCCCCCCCGTCCGATAACGTGACTTTGTCGGTTGCGCAAGTCCGAAAGGGTACGCAGTACTTGTGCGCGCGGGCATACGCTTAAGTCGGGCCTGTCCCCTACAGGGGGACTATTTTTTGATTATTTTTGGTGTACTTTTTATTTTTCGTCGAAAATCCCCCTGTAGGGGGACAGGCCCGACTTAAGCATACGCAAGGGTGCCCAAAGCGAAAACGTCAGCTTATCGGCCGGCCCCACCCCCGTCCCCCACCAGATGCCCCAGGCCATCTCCGAACAGCAACAAAAATCCCCATGGGGTCTGGGAAGCTTCCCTGTGCGGCAGAGACTCCGTCGCCTTTCCCGCGGCACCCTCCGCCTTCTGTGCTTCAATTCGGTCCCGGCGTGGCCCGCCTGCAGTCCGACTGGCGCCTGCACCAGTTTCGACTCGCTTGCGCCCACAGACTTGCAAATATGTGGCAACACTCGGCCACGCGCAGAGGGGGGTTGAGGGAGGGGGTCAGGCTTCCTAGAATCGCCCCTGCTTCTTAGAAAGCGCGGGCCTTGTCTACAGATGTAGGGCCAGCGCCTTGTAAAAAGCAGCCTCCTTCTCAGAAGCCCTCCCCCTTCCCCCCTACGTTCGCGCCGCCAACAAACGGAGATGGCTCGTGCGAGCCAGGTCCGACAGCTGCTCCGCGCATTGAACGTTTTCTCGTAAATCTAAAGCTCTCTCTGTAGATGAAGGGCCGGCGCCTTATACGGAGCAGTAAGAAGCTTTCCCCCCTTCCCCTGCCCCGGACCCCGATCCCCCCTGGACCCTGGACGCTGAGATCTTTTTGCACACCGTCGGCACCAGGAGATCTGGACCCCCTCCCCGGGACGAGCTTTCCGTCCTGAGCCGTCTCCTGGCCCGATATATGTGGCCGCCCGGAATCTGCATATATATATATATATATATATATATATATAGAGCGACAAACTTCCGGTCGTGAATCTTACCACGACCTGAGGGGTTTAGGCCTGTTGTGTGCGCCGCCAAGATGCAGCCCCTGCCCCCCCCCCCCCGGCTCCGCGACTTCCGCAGGGCCGCAGAGGCCGCGCTCAGCTTCCTGTCCTGGCGCGCGCGCGGGCACAAGGAGATGAGAGGCGAAGAGCGGAGGCGGAGGAAAGAGGAAAGAGGGAGGAGGAGGAGGAGGAGGAGAGGAGGAGGAGGAGGAGGAGGAGGAGGAGGAGGAGGAGAGGAGGAGGAGGAGGAGGGGAGGAGAGAGAGGGGGAGGAGGGAGGAGGGAGGAGGAGGAGGGGGGAGGAAGAGGAGGAGATGCAGCCCCCCCCCCCCCCCGGCCGCCCCAGCCGGCGCCAGGCCGCGGCGGCGAGCGCGCCTCCCGCCCGCCAGGGCCGGCCCGGCAGGAAGGCCGGGGCGTGAGCGCCCGTGCCCGGACGCGCCGCCGGGGGGCGCGGGCGGAGGGGGGGGGATCCAGGGTCGAGGAGGGTGTCCTCTTGCTCCTGCTGTTCCTCTTGCTCCTCCTCCTCCTCCTCCTCCTCCCTCCTCCTCCTCTCCTCCTCTTTCCTCCCCCCCCTCCTCCTCCTCCTCCTCCTCTCCTCCTCATCCTCCTCCTCCTCCTCCTCCTCCTCGTCGTCCTCTCCTCGTCCTCCTCCTCCTCCTTCCCCCCTCCTCCTCCTCCTCCTCCTCCTCCTCTTCCTCCTCCTTCCCCTCCACCTCCTCCTCCACCTGCTCCTCCTGCACCTCCTCCTCTTGCTCCTCCTCCACATCCTCCTCCTCTTGCTTCTCTTCCTTCTTCTTCTCCTCCTCCTGATCCTCTTCTTGCCTATTCCCAATCCTCAATCCTCCCCCTTTTCCTGCTGTTTCTCCTCCTCTTCCTCCCCCTGTCCCTCCCTCTCCTCGTTCTGCTCTTACCCCGCCTGCTCCTTTTTTATTCCTCCTTTTGCTCATCCTCCTCATTCTCTTCCTCCTTCTCCTCCTCCTCCTTTTCCTTATCAGGTTCCTCCTTCTCCTCCTCCTCGTCCTCGTGATCCTCCCTCTTTTTCTTGTTGTTATCCTTCTTTTCCCCCTCCGGTCATCCTTCTCTTCCTCCTTCTCCCGGTTTTCCTGCTCCTGTTCATCCTCGTGGTTCCCTCCACTTCCTGCTTTTCCTGATCCTCCTCCTCCTCCTCCTCCTTCTCCTTCTCCTTGTTTTGCTCATTCCCGTGCCAATGGTTTTCCGCAGCGCCTGGAGTGGCTGGTGTGCAGGACGCAAGGGGCGCTGGAAGGGTGTGCGCATGGCGCACTCCCGAAGAGCACCTGCACAATCACGCAAGGGGTTAGGACACCAGGGCGGCACTGGCACACGAGGCACTTACCTCGAGGACGGCCCGTTAGCAAAACCCGATGTCCGGCACACTTTGAAATCATCACCTCGGCGTCTTGACCTCGAGGCCTCCACCCCCAGGTCTTCACCGAGAGGTGTTCACCCCGTCGAGGGTCGTCTTGATGTCATCACCTCGAGGGCTCACCTCGAAGTCTTCACCACGAGGCCTCTGCTTCGATGGTTGCACATCGAGGCCTTCACTTCGAGGACCTCGAGGTCTTCGCCCAGGTGTCTTGACACAACTCCGACTTAACCCCCTTCGCGAGGCAGTTGCTTCAAGGAGATCGTCTGGCGGCAAGGCCGGCGGACTTGCACGCCCCTCCCCCCCGTCGCGAGGCAGTCGCCTCAAGGGCACAGCCCGGCGGCAAGGCCAGCGGCTCTGCACATTCTTACGTCTATCCGCTACCAAGTTTCGTCTCCTGTCGGTGGCCGGCCGGCGGCAATACCAGGTCTCGCGCCTCCACAGATTACGCGCGCCCACCTCCGTTGCGAGCCAGTTGCCTCAAACACGCAGCTAGGCGGCGAGGCCGGCGGTCCGCGCACTCTAACGCCTCACTGGTTGACACGTATCGTCTTTTCTTTGGCGTTGGTTGGTGGCAGTGCCGATTTTCATGACACCGCAATTCTTCGCGCCTGCCCTCGTCACGAAGCATTGGCCTCAAGGACGCAGTCAGGCGGCAAGGCTGGCGGTCCTGCATCATAACGCCCCTCCAATGACCACGTCTCGAATCGCTTGGGGCGCTGGATGGCGGCAGCGCTGGCTCTCGTGCATCAGCAGACTTTGCGCGCAGGCGCCCTTCGCGAGGCAGTTGCCTCAAGGACGCAGCCGGGCGGCAAGGCCGGTGGTCCCGCACGCTCTCACGTCTATCCGCGACCACGGTTGGTGTCCTCTTGGACGTTGGCTTGGGGGTATGCCGGCTTTGATGTATCCAGAGATTCTTAAGGAGGGGAAGAAACACAACGCACCGACACAATGAACCGTCCATCCCCAGGAAACTATGGGAACCTATGTGCAGCAGTGGGGAGGACGAACATCAAGAACGTATGGAATCTATGGGGAATCCTCGACACTGTGAGTACTTAGTTGTGTGTGTGTCTCTGGGCCCCTTTGAATCTGCGCGCTTGCGTCTGCTGCGGGGACGACGCCCATCGGCGAGGCGGGCGGTCCCGCGAACATTCCCACGTTGCCCTGGGTACCATGTTTCGTCTCCTTGTGGCCCCCGGCTGGCAGCAATGCCAGTTTTCGTGTATCCACACAGTCGGACCGAGGTATAAGACCGAGGTCGGCTCGGGGAGGGTATCCTAGAGTTCTTCGTGTTTGTTGGATGCTCTGATGCATCCAAGGGGGAGGGCGCCCTCGAATGCACTTCAGTTTGGCTGGCGGATGGTTTCGTGTTCTGAAGGATGCTATTCTGTCCTAGGTCCGGCTGTTTCCGCACATTTTGCGCTCTTACCCCCGTCGCGAGGCAGTTGCCCCACGCAGTCTGGCGGCAAGGCCAGCGGTCCTGCACATTCTCACGCCTCTCCAGTCACCACGGCCCGTCTCTCTTAAGGCGATGCCATGGCGAGGAACGCAGAAGGAGGGATTGCCGTCCCATCCACCCCTTCCAAGGAGGGGCGGGGGAGGAGGCATTTTGTGCACACAATCTCCCTGCTTGTTTTCTGAGGTTCTTAGGGTAGGTCGGTCTCTTGGTAGCCTGATGCCCCCGACTGCTCGGAAGTAGTGGCCAACAGGGGTGCCCACTACACCAGATTTCGTAATAAAGGGAGGGGGGTCTCATTTCGGGGGGGGTCCCTTCCAGGCTATCTTGGAGGGACTGGGGGGGTCTGGGGACGATGTTTTGGAGGGTTCTCCCACGGGGGGGGTCTGAAATGGCTTGTCTTGGAGGGTCCAGACCCCCTCCCTTTTATTTCGAAATCTGGAGTACTTGTGGCGTGTTTATGATATACCTGCACCGCGCAGCACTCGGCACTCAGCAGCCTGACCGGGTCTACTGGGCATCGCCTGTGGGGTCGCAGGCTGGGGCTGTCGCCCGCGGGTTGCGGCAGGGGGAGGCCGACGTCTCGGATCGGATGTGCTTTTTCACGTGGCCTCAACACCCTGAGCTGCGAATGTAGGGGGCCACATGCGAACCCTACCCCTACCCCCACGATTTCTGAGGGGGAGGGTGGGGTTCACTTCGTTCGGGAGCTCCCGAATGAAATGAACCCCACCCTCCCCCTAAGAAATCGTGGGGGGTAGGGGTAGGGTTCGCATGTGGCCCCCTAGAACGGCTACAGAGAGAAATCACTCTGCGGTGCTGACAGGCGACCCTTCAGACTTTCAGTGCGCACCATCTTGTTGTCAATCCGAGATTCCCGCACGGCCTCACGCAAAGCTTGAGCCACGAGCGGCTACGGAGAGAGAGCTCTGCGGCAGAGGGGTACTGAAACTTTGCGCACGTCGATCGGTTCCCGCATTGTCCGTTTAAGCTTTGGGGTCCCATGAGACCAGCACCGCCCTTATGCTCAAACAGTCGCACAATGGGCAACATGTGTCACAGGTGCATCTCTGGGAATTTACCCCGTCAATCCCACCATAGTCCATCAGGAATCGCTGCAATCCCCTCTTGAATGATCTTCGATGGCCGCAGGGAGGCAAAAAGCGGCAACGTGCGCAAGAAAGCGTTTGGGCGTTTAGGCACGCCCGCAGGAACATGCACTTATATATATATATATATATTATAGATATCGGGGGATGCCAGCCCATCCTCGGATGGATGGCGTGGCACCAGACTTCGTGTTACTTCCGTTACTCCATTCGTCACCTTCCCGATTCCCCTCCGAGGGGGTCAGATTTTGTTAATCTCTGTCCCAGCCGCGTTGCTGATAAGATAAACCTTTCACACTTTATAATCCCTGTCCCGGACGCGTGGCCGATAAGTTCGCCTGCGCACAAGCCCCTACATTTCGGACTCACAGCATACTGTGCTTAGTCTCAGTTGTAACCCGCACTTCCTGCTAGAACAAACTTGCCGCTCTCTGGGATTCGGACGCGTGCATCACCTCCATACTCGATCAATACGTGGTCTGGTGCGCTCGTTTTGCACCAAGATCCAGCTGCACCAGTCGCACGTCACAAAGTCCACGGTGAACACATCCCCTGGATTGCAAGTCCCGAAAAACCCCGCAGTGGCCTTTTCACAACGAGAGTAGTTTATGCTGTAGATCTGCATTGTGGGTCATCTTGTGACCAGCAAGGGGCCTCTCGGGACCCTCTGGAGGTATTCCTCCTGCTCTGGCAGGCTCCAACATGAAGATCTACGCTGCTGATTTCACTTGTGAGCCATCCTGTGACTGCCCTGGGGTCCTTCTTGAGACCCTCTTGCTGCCTTCCTGCGGATCTGGCAGGTTCCTAGCCCAGAGCGGCCTTGTTCCGTGCGGTCTCGACCACAGCCCCAGGCGATTCGCACCATCGGGCCACCGTGCCCTTCAGAGTGGTGGCTCCAGGAAACTGGGCACACTAACGGGGTTAAGGCGCCCCAAAGCCAGACCACCTCAAGTCAAGTCCTCGTCCTGCTCCTCTTTCTTCTCGTGCTCCTCCTCCTACTTCTCCTCTGCTCCTCCTCCTCCTCCTCCTCTTCCTCCCCCTGCTGCCGAAAGAAAGGGAGAGGGCAGAGGCGGGCCAGCAAGCTGCAGCAGGGGGCGAGAAAGTCCTGAAGGCAGCGTGCACTACCCCGAGTCGGGCAGATGCGGGCGGCGCCAGGGAGACACGACACGACACAGTCTTGGGATTCCTGGGGACAGCGTGTTGACATAATCCAGACGTCGCATGACTGGGGGAGGGCTCCAGGGTCGAGGATGCTTGGGTCGAGTTTCAGGCACGATGCTGATTTTCTCAGATCGGGGATCGGGGACGGAGTATCGATTTTCGTATGATATTGTTGGGCCTCCAGGTGCCCTCCAGGCCACGGCGGGGTCCGCTCCGTAGGGGAGGGGGCCGCCCTGGTTTTTTTCCGAGATTAGGGCTTTCGGATTGTTTCGCGATTGTTCCGCACCATTGTTTGCTCGCCCCCGA